ATAGAGCGATGCATATGAGACACTTTCCCGTGGTTCTACTGTAAACTACATATCGAAATTGAGCGTGACGCTTTGTCGAGGTTTTGTCGATAAATTTGCTCTAAAAATATAGAGCGCTGCATATGAGACACTTTCCCGTTGTTCTACTATAAACTAAATATTGATATTCAGTGTGACCCTTTGTCGAGGTTTTGTCGATCTTCCTCAATATATTTGGGCTTAAACTCGAGAGTGACGGTTGTGTGATATTTTGTAAATGTTTTCTGAAGAGTGATAGTTGTGCGATATTTTGCTGATGTATTACCATTGAAATGGTCTTTTCACTTTTAATTTCAGGGTTGAATTGAAGGTTGATAGTAATGCGATGTTCTACCAACGTTTCAGAATATATTTTATTGCATTCAACATTTGGCATTTTACCGCCATCTTTCAGCTTGATTTTGTAACACTTCAGCATTTTTATAGGTAAAGCGAAATGTGCTCCCTGAAGGTTCTCATTCACCATCACTTTAGGCTTGCTGTGATCAGCTGCTAACAATATCGTATAGTGTGTTCAGTTGAACTTGTGTCCAGTTTTTTGCGTTGAGTTGCACCCATCCCAAAAATAACTACCAAAAAATACAGATAATTAAAAACAAATGTCTGAGGGCAACAAGTAACGCAGATTGCAGAAAATCTGACGGTACTATCCATGAGAACCTATAATTTACAACAGTAGAAAAAGCTGTTACCAGCATCACAATAGACTTCTATAATAACCAACTAAACGATTTGAAAATCATAGAAAATACTGGTAAACTGAGAAACAACGATTTATTTTTCATGTTAAAACACAAATCCCGCAACAAGTGGTAATAACAGCGTCAAAATATAAGAATGAAAAACTGCAATATTGGTGTAAGAATAAGTGATAGTAGTAAAGATTAATCATAAGTTTATAATATAACAAAATTGGTGACCACCCCGACTTACCTCCAAAATCAAAACCAAGTACAAACAATGGACAAACCACATGTAGCAATTACAAGCGATGTACCAAAAAACAAGAATTAAAAGGGATAAAATTAACTCTGCTAATAGGCACCTCAAAATAAGTTAAAACTCATATGTAACGCAACCAAACATAGTGTATAAAAATCAACTGGAGAAAGAGTCTATAAAAAAAAAGAAGTCTAGAGACATCATTTGAGTGTGCTCAAGTAGCATTTGCTATAAATACTTCTCGTAATTTTGGGCGCTTCATCCGAGCTGCTGAATGAAAATTAATTGTTAGTATTTGCAAGTAATCTGCTAACTATAGGAAAGCCATTTGCAAGCAACCTGTTGGCGGTAGTAGAGTGGGGAAGGATCCGGAATACTCGTAATTAGTTGCCATTCTGGGGTGGAGAAATAATCAAGAGGAAAATGATTATCATCGTATCCTACTCCGGAAAGTATCGCAAGGGAGAATCGGGTCAAAGAATTCCGACAATAAGTCGACCCCGAAATTAATGAAATTTATTAACCTCGTTAGTATTCGAGGTTATTTTATGTTAGACTACATTTAATTAATCACAAAAAAGCATTATAATCATTTGATAAGTTTGTAATGCAGTGCAATAATGTGGCTGGAGAAGATCATCGTGATTTAATATTGTAGTGATTAGAATGTACATAACAGTTGCAGCAGAATCGAAAATACATTTTATGTCATTGCGGCTGATAAAACGCGTTTTTATCCGAGCGAAGCGAGGTTAGAAACGGCCACAATGACATAAAATAGCATCATAGCCACGGCGAAAAAAGCGATTCTGACTCATGCGCGTTATAATCCTCGTCTCAGATTCCCTTTTTCCGTCCTAGGCGTGAAATATACTATTATATTCCATCATACAGAAACGGTCAAATACCCTGTTTTCCTCCTTTGGTGCACAATATACTATTATTGTTTAATCGTCTAGTAAATTCATCAGAACTGGGTATGATTATTCAAATCATTTACCTTTTTTGCTTCCCAATGGAAGCTTTGTAATTCTTAGGAGTAGTAACTCTACTTCAACTCGATGCATTTCAGTCCACTGCAGCCTGAGCTGATAGCTCGTTCTGATTGTCATCAAACATTTCTTCTATGCATGTACTAATGATGGACTCGAATTGATTCAGAAATTCATCAGCAGAATTTATGGAACCCTGATGTGTCACTGGATGTGTCGATTTCCCTTGAATTTAGACAGGCATTCCCGTGACATCCTGAACATATGCTGGAGCACTTAAGCCCTGCTTTTCTGCATCTACATCGGGTCGTGCAGTTTTCTTCACATGGATAGGATATCATGTTCAAGATGGATTCTGGAGCAGGTTTCCTTGTCATGATAGGGCAGAAGATGTGATCTATTGATTCCCAACGCCAGTCACTGGGATTGAACTGATCATTTCCCAGCCATAGCTGAACCTGGAAATAAATACTGGAAGACTGGATAAAGTAACTTGTGTTCTGGCCTGTGCAGTAGAGACAACGAAACATTCATATTGATAGTTATCGATAGACGTTTCTCGGTTCGTAGCACAATACAACGCGAGAATAACCCGTCCGCAGTTACTTCCTTGACGTCATCTTTTGTGGTATTTTGGTTGTTGAAAACGGCGGCATCGTTCGATACCTGTTTTTGCATTTGCAGAATATTCCAACAAGATATTTTTCTCTTTCCACTGATAGAACTCGTGGTGTCACACCCTGTGAAAGAATGGTAGAAAAGTATTATCTCCTTGAGGTGTTGATGCCCCAGCTTTGACTACATCATACTGGGAATTTTGCCACTGCCTTGCTTAATGAAGAGAATATCTTCTCCCTCCGGGATCAAGGCAATTAGTAGCACCAGTAGGTCAACATCTTGTCCAATAACTACAATTTTTCATGAAAATTGGGCTGCACAACAGCTGTTGTTGCAATTACACGATCGGCATCTTCAACCGCTTATTCCACAGTAATCCCACCCGTTGAATGATTTGAACTTTTTGACGATTCTGCTTGTACGGCTCTTCGGACTCCAATCACCGGGGAATTTTGTCACATTCGTAAGCATCGGGATAATTCCTTAGATATCGTTGGTTGAATATTAGTGGGTGTTGTCTTCAAGTTCAGGTGTGCTGCTGCGGCCATCAAAGGGCCATTTAATGCTGCTTTCACATTATGGTATGAAGATAAGCTGGAGAGAGACGATGTGTCACTTTAAAGGTCTCAGTTAACAGGAGCCTTCGTCGACATGGTTATTTTCATCTCAGCAGGAGCAGTATTTCCGGATGAGAGGCTAGCTATTGAACGATTATGTTAGCTTGACCCTTGGTAGCCAAATCTATGTGTACGTTATTCACACATTCGTTATATATCGATTGTTGAATATTTGTGTCGGCAGCTGTATTTAGGCCTTGTGATGCCGTATTGTTTATCACAGGTGGTATTTTCAGGACGCCTGGTCGAGAAATTTATTGAAATGATATCATTTTTTGCTTCTGAATGAGCAAAATAATTCATTTGTTTCCTTGAATATAGGCTGTATATATTAGCTATATAACCGACGGTAGTGGCCGTGCGGTTAGAGTGTTAGATTGGCATACCAACGATCCGGGTTCGATCCCGGGCACCGGCGGTCAAAATTTATAGCGCTCTAATCTCACAGTTTCAGTGTCGAGCGGTAGTCCTGTCAAAAGGACTACCAGGGCAGGTTTTTCCCCTCGAATGAGGTTTTTCCTTCCCTTCGGCAAATGCGGTACAGGAGGTTGGGGGGTGGGAAGGGAACAAATCGTAAAGACCCGAAAGGGTATACGAGAGGAAAAAAGTTTTTTATTAGCTATATAAATTCTCAGTATTAGTTTTAGCTTGTATGGTTTGTATGCAGCATTGTTTATACTACAGATAGTGTCACAGAATACCAGGGAAGGTCCATGGTCCATTCATGAAACGGCGATATTCTTTTATAACAGTTAGTTCTTCTCTGGATATTAACGTGAATAAATTTATTTACTAATTTAATAAATGCTCAATTCCATTTCATGCCTTGTTTTTTGGTGTTACAGTTATTTACGGTTCCGTCCCAAGAGTCAAACCTCCGCATGACCTAAAATATCCGTTTTCTTCGTCATGGGGGAAACCGATTCTGTTAAATTAAGATTCTGAAACCGAATATATCTGTATTAAGCCTTCGGCTTAACCCTTCGGGTTTTCTCTTTCGTAATCCTTACATGCTCAATCATATGCACCGCCCCGGGCCCGTCATGCCACAAGTCACGCCACAATAAGACATATATACTCTCGAACATGGACCAACTTTAACCAGTAACGCTGAGAAACTGAGGGCTTCACCCCAGTCCCTAACCTCCTCCACCCCTGATGGCGGACATCTCGACAAAACCGTCATCGAAGTTATGGATTGGACGCTGATAGATGACGCTGATATGATAATTTCTTGTATGTTTCAGATGGCAGAAGTACCTACGATTTCCTTCAGAGAATTAATGGGCATAGCAGCATACACGGAAGAAGAGGATGGAGTTTTAGATCATTTAAAAATATTGACCCTGCCCGTCGGTTGGCAAGGCCATCAGATACACAAGTTCCCGACCTCTTTGGCCAGGAAGCGACGATTCAGGACCCCCAGAACACATCCTATATATCCTGAAGAAATATCCAATTCGTTTTATCAATAAAAACGGCGAGCCCGGTCGACACCATCGAAAAATACGCAACAAAAGCATTACCTGAGAGGATGAAAGAAATCGAATCGGTGTTCCACCACGGAATCCTATAAAGAACCAACTGGGACTCCGGTTGCTTATGACCAATGTTTCTGATTCCCAAACCGAGGGGACGATACTCGCCAGGTTTTCAAACTTTGGTGTTCAAACAAGTATCTGCAACCTGCAAACTTTCGGTGAGTAAATTAACAATCGGTTCCGTCGTTCTTACAACAGAACGATTTTTTCAGCCAAAATAGACCGTTCTCAGGTTTACTTGCATGTTCCCATAAAGCTGAGTCAACGCTGTTATCGTTGTTTATCCTTCATGGGGCAACTCTACAACGCATCGTGTCTTCCTTGCGGCTTATCGACGGTTCTAGCGGCTTACTCAAACATATCCAACTGGATTACACGCATCCTTCTTCAAAGAGATATGTGAGTTCTGGTTTCTGGACGGTTTTCTTTTGGCCCATCAGGCCGCTCAGATACGTCAGGGTAGATTCGGCGGGCTCCGAAGTTTCTACCCTTCCTGAATTGGGTTATTAGCATTCGAAAATTAATCATCCAGTCTTGCCACGGAATCGAGTTTCTAGGAATTATCTGAGGCCCAAGAGTTAATTTAATGATACTCTCAGGAGACAAGAAAGTACGGACCCTATAGTTGTTGAAATAGGTGGCGAAGTTGAGATCCTGGAAATAGAAAAGGTAAGCTCTCCTGGGAATGCTAAATTTTGCTTGTACAGTAATACCCTTAGAACGCCTCTTTTGTCGCCAATTACAACGAGAAGCGCGCCATTTATTACAACCCTTCCCAAAAAGGACATACCTTCTTCTCTCATTACCTTACATCGACTGTCAGTGGTAGAAAAAGAACATCAATCAGACATGACCTATTTCCTAGTCAGAACAAAGGATCTTCATCTCAACAGATGCTTTGCAGTCAGGTTGAAGTCCATTTGGACGAGATTTCCTATTGCGGGGCATGGTCTCGATCTTAGTCAGCGTGGCACATGAACAAACAAGAACTGTTCACTCTATTGGTAGCAGTCCAAGCTTTAATGGATCGTCTCGAGGATGAGACAATCATGTTACAGTTAGGCAAGAAAACGGCCCTGGCTTACATCAGGAATCAGAAAGAAACACGTTCCCAGGTAATAGTGGGGCTGATGAAGGAACTTCTACTTTGGCTAAAAAAATACAGAAGCACCTTCATTCCGTTCTTCCTCACGGGAATTACAACACGTGGGTAGACAGACTATAAAAAAATGTTGCCCTGTCGGAGTGGCACTTAAGTCTGGAAATTCAATAAAGGGTAGAGCAGAATTGGGCAACGCCAACAATAGACCATTTGGCGATCATCCACTCCAAAATAGTACCGACTTATGTGTCAATCGATGCGAGTGACCAGAACGTCGCAGTCATCAATGCATTCAGCAGTTGAAGCATGGGTGTTTCCGCCTCTTTCGGTAATTCCAAAAGTTTTACACACTAAAATTTAGGAAAGAGAATCTTCCTGGTGGTCGTACCGAGGTGGGCCAAGACCTTCTGGAGGAACACCTTGAAACGCAGAAGTCTCGATGCCTCATTCCAAGTTCTGCATCTCAAGAAACACCTGAAAGACCTATCGACAGGGGTCCACCTCAGAATGTCGACCACCTCTTTCTGCAGGTTTGCAAGGTATGGGGTGGAGTCATTCAATAAGGGGATTAGCAGAATCTGAGATCAAACTCCTCGGCGCGGCTTAGAGGAACACTTCCTGGAAGACATATTCTTCGATTTGGAGTCAGTGGGGGACCTGGTGCAAAGAAAAGGGGACTCAGTCAGACACTCCCTCAGCACAGCAACTGGTGGCATATCTGAGTTACTTTTTCAATGAGAGGAGATTAGCCTAAAGCCGGATCCTCACGCAAAAGTTAGCAATTTCGTCCCTGGCTAAAAGGGGAAACAAGGAGAGTTTGAGCTCTGATCGAAAATAACCATCTGAAATATAGAGACGATGACGACCTGGCAGTTAGACTATTCACCTTCGCCTAGAGAAGACAATCTTTACCTGGAGGCGACAATTTTTTCCAGACCTCGCACTTCGTCGCTCTCCTTCTTCTGATGGTATCGTGGAGAAGAATACATGATCGTACCCTCCTTTCGATCAATCCAGAGTTCTACACGGTTGACGAAGGCAAAATTGTTTTTTGCACGAAATTATGATCCAAAATAGAGTCGGCGAATTATCGTCTATCGGAATAGCAAATCTCACATTCGGGAGATGCTTTATTTGATCTGGTGAGGTGGATTAAAATGTTGATGAATCTGTCAGAGAAAAGACGTAGGACCCGGGAAGAATTCACAGCTCTTTTCATTCCAACGACAGAGATGGTCAAAGCACCCTCGAGAACGATCATCGCGGGTTAAATAGGAACTGCCCCTTCAGAAGCAAAAATTCAGGCAAGTCTAGGATCAGCACGTTCAGTGATAGCCCCTAATAATTTTCAAGACACGAGGAATATGCAGAAAGCACTACGAAAGTGTAACTGGAAGGTTCCTGATAATTTCTTCAAGTATTACTATAAAGTTATGAAGGAGCCAAAGAGTCCAGAATCAAGGAAGCCCCTTAGGGACTGCTTTAATCCAATCTGATATAGTAGAGCTATATCATATGGATTTTATGATAATTACGTTCTCGGAGATATGAATAAACATTTCGTCCTTTAAAATCACAGTACGGCTTTATACTGCCGGCAGATTTTAAATACCTCTCCAAAGGGTCAACCCGAGGGCACAAACATAAAATAGAATCGTTTTCCACCCTGGAGGAAAGAGAGCGTGTATTTCAGGTCTTGGCGAGGCTCGATTGACCCGAGCAAGGGTATTTTTATTTTTGAATGAAGGCATTATAATTGTTGAAATGTATTGATTCTGACCCGAAAACTTTGAAAATTCCATCTTAAACAACATTCAAACCTTCACCGTTGATTGGGTGCTAATGCACCTGTGAAGTGAAATAATTTTTTCAAATTAGAAAATTCAATTCATTTATTAAATTTTCAAGTCTTAAGGTTTTTCAACGATAACTGGACAATAAAAAGTTATGGAATACTTCAATGAGAGCTTAAAAATGAATGTAAATCAAGATTTAATGAAATGGTCATTATTCAGAATTGTTCCGGTGACTTGGTGATGAAGTTCGAAGTTAGAAATAATAGTGATAACGACCATGTCGAAATCTGATTAGACTGTATGTAATGAAAAAGCATTGCCTATGTTGTTTTCCTATTCACATACAAAGAATTTATGTGAACGAAATTTCCAAAACGGGCGCAAAAAACGTTCAATCCAGGAACAAAAAATTAGGGAGTAAATTAGGGAGTAAGCGTGGTTGCAGAAAAGATTCAGCAAGCTTATTTCAAACATCAATGCAGCTAATGCACTTTTATTTCAGTTTTTAACCCAATTGTGAATGGTTGACCAGGTTGGACGAATATTCCCACACGAAACCATATAAATAATAAAATAAGTACTACCAACAATTCTTATTTAAATAAATCTATTATTTCAATTTCATTACCGCATTTTTCATCAAGCATCCATTGTAGCAGCATATCATAAGAAATGTTCATATCCCCATGGAATCATTTCATGTAATTACAGAGGATGTTAAATTCTTTTTGCAATCTGCATTGTAGGTCAGAATGTTTTATTCAACGACTAAATAATCCAATTCCTAATACAAAACCACAGAAAATTAAAAACCAATCGCGTCGACATCCTTTTCATATTGTACATTTGGAAAAAAATGTCACTGTCGTGTGATAACGCATCCATTTGACTTGTTTCACTCATACATACTAGGGTCCCATCCATTCAAATAGATTTTCTTCATCATATAGTTCAATTTTCAAGTTAATTAATATTACGAATGCATTCTACAGCTGCCAAGGTCATTTTGTTTGTAGGAATATTTCCATATATTTCGGGGTTTCTTTTAATACATTTTGACGTCACATAGCGTTTTTCGTTACATAGTTATTCACAAATTGATTCGACTCCACTTTTCTAAAACTAAATTTTCAAAATCAGCATTTTACGTGCTTCTTAGTCTAACTGTCTTCGCACCTCTATTCATCTCGAGGAGATTTTGACGTATCGGATCGTCGGAATCTGATTGCGAAAGAATTATTTTCACGCAGGTTACCTAGATTTGTCTGTGAATAACCGTTCCAAAAAAAAACGCTATTATCTTCATCGAACAGCCGCTTTCACCTTCACTAGACATGTTTCAAACATCATCATTTCATGTTAAGAGTCAATGGAGAAAAATGCTAACTTCGGAGTTCTTCCTAGTCTATTATAAATAAAGGCATCATTTAATGTACATTTCCGCATTTTTGTATATATAAAAAATTGATTGCACAACACAAAATGTATTGAAATAAACTTAGGCCCTCTAAAAAAAAAAATTAAAGAACGAAAAATTCAACATGAGCCCTGTCAACTACAAATCATCAACTATCTTCAGAATAAATGAAGGCTGGATGATGTTCTGAGAAATCTCAACAGCGAGAATCCATATAATGAGTTTCGAAAATCCTGAGTTGATCAGATCATAACATTCAGACGGAAATTCATGTGTTCTGACGTGAGAGTGATTCGTCTAGGTGTATATTTTCTATTAAAACTGTTGCAATGATCTGGGAGATCTGCATTTTTCAAAATTTGCACGACTGTGTACAAGGCTGCACCGGATTTTCTACGCCTCAATTAATCAATCAATCCATCGATTGATCAATGGATTTTATGGAGTCGCAGATAAAGCCACACGAGTTAGTGCATATAAATCTGAAATTCGGTGAAATTTTGCACCACTTTCACAGGTCAGAAAAATTATGAAACAAATAAAAATGGCATAAAATAATGAGTACTTTTCTCAGCTGCGGCTGAAATCGTTTTGATAATGCCAAGAAAATTATACGATAAGTTAAATTTCATTAGGAATTGATAGCCAGCAGAATTCACCAAGTAAATGTTTTTTACAATATAATGGCCATCAACTATTTTCCTTATTTTTCACCATTTTTGTATGGGAAACCGAGGCAAATTGAAATAATTGTGATCTACTACTTACGGCCCCATTGAATTTTTTCATATCTCCTTTCATTCATTATTAATCCACGCGAGTTCATTCGCGTAAAAGTCTATGAAGAGATTATATTCAATATTGAAAGACTGCAACCATTATTATTCAATGTGTAAAAGGAAAATGTGCCGAAAAAATTCTTTGGAAGTGCAAAAAAGTACTACACAAAATCATCTCAATCTGTCACTTTTGAACTAAATTGAAGAAAAATAAAAACTTCCGTCAATCGTGCGAGTGATGCATTTTTCGCAGTATTTTATTTGATTAATTCCTCCCCGATCTCCCTTATATTTATATATGAACACTCGTGGGGACTTAATAGCAGCGAGTTCCAATGAAATCGAAAAAATGAACAAAACGTTTATAAACTATAACAGCTAGATACACGGTCTGAATGAACAAGACTGGCAGTAGCAAATAAATCACTTTTAAAAACACAATGATCGATAGAAAATCGGATGATTTTTTTGTTTTGTATTGACTGCAAAATGAAAATACATTTGTGCAGATAGTTGATCAAGAACAGAGCAGGAAAAGCGTCCCCATTGAATTCCATTCTACTTACAATCTTACATGATATTTACATTTTTTCCCGCTCAACCCTGATATTTTGATGAAGGCAATTTTTCTACAAAGTTTAATATAGTGGCATTCAAATACTATATTCCTAGAACCCCCCCTCTCATCATTCGCCTAAGAGAATATTCGAATACTCTCATATCATTCCTCAATCCTCTTCACTTGTGACTAGTCTTTGCTTTTACAGGATAATCTATCATAAGTTACATGAAATCGTTTAATGAAACTCTCATAAGTTATACTAAATCCAAACACTTAAAATTTGGATAAACATCACCATCAAATTTGGCTGGTAGGTATAAATTGTGAGAGATAATTTTCGAACTTAGACGTGCACAACTTATGAGAGTATATAACTTTGACAGGTTTTACTGTACTAATATGCAGCCTCGTATCAATTAAAATAAAAATAGAAATATCAACTGCACCTAATGAGCGTTTTATGCACCTATTTTACGTATGTACACATTCAATTTCACCATTCTGTCATTTCTGTTGATTTTTTCGTTTCCTTTTGTTCGTTCATCATTTAAAAGACTTCTTTTTATATCACCGTTCAACGTAGAACTTCCTAGATTAGCGTGTAAACTAATGAAAATCCAATCAACATGAATATTACATACAAAACAGTTCGTTACAAAATAAAACGCAACAATTTATGTGATTTTACAGTTTTTTTTTCTGGCAAGTGGCGGAATAAATTGAAATGGCAATTTATTCCTCTGAATAGGCAAAGGACCAATTGAAAATGGCCTTAATTTCATGGTGCTGAAACCTTCAATTTTTTAAAGTAAATTTAAGAATTAAATGACACAATACAAGAATTTCTTGCCACCAAATGATTTCGACATTCTCTCTTCCGATAATTATTGCAACTTTACCTGCAAGGCTAATTAACAATTATAGTCTCTATAATTGAATCTCGAGTACCTTAACCCTTTGTATTCAAAAGCAACTGTATCGTTGTTTACTTTTTGTCATGCCAGTTAAATTAAGGTCTCTGAATACAAACAAAATCATAAAATCATATAATTTCTAATGAACTGTATAATCTCCGACCGTCATACTGGAGGTGACATAATCACCTCTCGCACCGGAAATAAAATTAAAGCAATCCCCCCTTTCTCCCGAACAAAATAGAACTCAATACACCAAAGGTCGACTGTGTGGCAGATTCTTTAGTGACTGATGTAGAAACAGCACTCGTAACCTGTCCCAAATCAGGTCTCATACTCCCTCCGCCTCTTCGTCTACCACCCTGACCTCTTCCACCAATCCCCGGCCTTTTCTCCCTGGTCTCATCTACCTGATCCTCATCTATCTCACTAAAATTCGAGTCTCCACAGAGCGACGAAGAGGCTGATCCTAACTGCTCTGAAGAAATGGATCCTTTGAGAAAAGTCAGCTGTGCCATTGGGCTGCCAACAGATCTCCTAGTACAAAGAGCACCCTGAAGTGCCAGAGGGAGTACAGATGAGCCCCCAGCTGTAGCCATTATCGTATCAATTCCCATTCTCTCCAATTTTTCCACCAATCGGATGCCACCCATTGCTTTCTTCTCAGCCCTCGAAAGAGTCGTCTTACGTTTCCTTTTACTCTGGGACAATTGCGAGGATTCACTTCCAAATGTTCTTTTGATAAGTTCAGCACCCGTGGAGAACAGTCCAAAACCTACTGGACTGTCATCAGGGGATGAAGGTCGAGATTGTGGTGGCGTGCCATCTGGACTGTTGCAAGGCGTTGCTGTAGGGGTATAATTGCGCTCACTGCAAGGAGTCGCCATACAGGAAGGTGTAGCTGCTTTTATTCCACGTTCATTCAACATTTTGGCAAGACCCAGAGTCGTAGAAAACGTTGACGTTGAGTTACGTCTTGATAGAGTTCTTGGTGTATTCATACCTGAATTGATGACGCTGCTAGGGGCTGTAGCGACCCTAGAGCCAATGACGCTTGAAGTAATGTGAGTGGGATCTTCTGGATGGAGGACAGTGCTGTTCGTAAATGTATAGACTGAGCCGGTGTCTTGGAAAAGTTTCCCTGGGTTCGAATACTCTTCATCTTCCTCTAAATCAGCCAAGGTAAATGTTTCGAGGCCAAGATCTTCCAAAGCTCGTCCCCCTCGAATTTTTACACCAGGTCGTTCTTCTAACAGCCCGCCCAGGGTAGGAGTAGCTAGCTGGGACCAATGGTGAAGAGTTTGAGATCCTTCCATAGGTTTAACTATTTGAAGCTTTTCAGGTAAGCGCCAGCCGGTGGTATTGTTGCTGAATCCAGAGAGATTTCCACTGGAACCTGTTGACATTATGCTGTCAGGAGTGCGGCAGCCCATGGGGAGAAAGATTGGGGGTGAATGAATCATCCCCCCATCGTAATCGAAGTTGTAGCCTGTTCCTGTGCTCAGACAAGCTCGACGGGCAATTACTTCTGCAGGTGTAAGACGCCGAAGGGCGGCCTCGAGGTCCGCAGCACCTGAAAATAAATAAAGTACTTCAATGACTTCTGACGGAAAAATCGTAGAAATGTAAAAAGAAACAAAAAGAGCCAAGCAGTTGGTCACGTCCCTAGTGCCAATTCAGACTACCCAAATGCTTTATAGTTCCGACATGGCTACTTTTTTCCCATCAAAAAATTCTTTTCATTTTATGATAAAAAAGAGTATTGAAGATTATTATATGCGTTTGACTTGAGGAGAAAGAAATGGTAAGGTTGTTTTTAAAAAATTTTGCATAGAACTCCTCAAATGCGCGGAAGTTAATGGGTTGACAACTGAGATTTATTTGCCAGGGATTGATTCCTTGCAGGAGAACAATAGATTTCCCTCTGCCTCACCTCTGACATGCTAATACCAACATAATATCCTTAAGAGAAGCGTAGACTATCTATCGAACGTGATCTGTAGTTTAAATTTAATCTTGTCAGCCTAAAATATATTGAAACCTGAAATTCAATCTGTGTTGTGAAAACAACTCGAATGGCTGTCAAAAATCATGGGAAAAAAAAGGAGAAATTGTTAAGGGGGGAAAATCGCGATATTGACTCGGAGGAATTCTTCAAGTTTTCCACAAAAATTATTAAAAACGCGAAGTTCACCGGCCACTATGGTGGGAGAAAACAATACATTCGACAGTCAATTACAATATACCTACAATCAAAATCGACTGTCAAAGGTTTCTGATGGCAACTGCGTATTTTTCATTACTTTTTCATAAACTTGGCAGATCCTTTGAAATCAATATCATAACTTGCGCCTTTTAACAATTTTTCTTTCTTTTTTTTATTATGTTTGTATAACCGTTCGAGTGGTTTCCGCATCACAAATTGAATCCCAGCTTTCAGTATATTTTAGGCTAATAAGATTAAATTCAAATTAAATATCACGTTCGATAGATAGGCTAGGCGGATCTTAAGTAAAGAGAAAAATTACTTGATTAGTTTTCTGATATATCTCATTTAACCTATGTAATTTGTTCAAAAAGTTATAATAGTTTTTTTTAATAAGATAATTTTCTCATTTGACACAAAGAATTGGAAAATTGGATATTTGACCGGTGCTATTTTTTGAATTACATCAGATTCATTAAAAATAACTGAAATTAGAAAATAAACAGGAATATGATAATTTTCTACACTTTTCCAATACATACAACCCCCAATCTATCGAATTTCAGCGATACGAAAAATTAGATATGCAGAGTGGAAATGAAAACGGCAATTCGATTGTCAGTCGTAGTTGCCTTAATTTGATGAGCACTAATATCTCTACCAGACAGATCTTTTATCGAATTAGGACTAGCTACACAACTGCCAATCGTAATGTCTGTATCGAGGAGCAAAGCCTTGTGTAACTTATACCTTCGACTGGGATTATAAAATCATATTCGTCAGAAAATATTTACAAAGGCCTTATGATGTAATGTACGTCACTTACTCACTTATGTCGTTATCCTATTTTTTCGAATAACTTCCACTCAATCTTAATATATTTTGTTTTTTTTTAATAGAAATTCATTTTCCTATTTAACTCTAGCTTTCGAACTTTAAGATTTAAAATGAATGAAATTCCTTTCAATCAATACGGAAATAGATATTGATAAACGGAAAAATCGTTCTTTAAAATTTTGCAATGCTAGAAAAAGTGGTATGATTGAGTTTGTCTTCGTCTTTTTTCGTTAACAATTGAATAATTAAAATCGATTAAAAAATAGAGAACCAATTAAATATTTGGTAGTGAACAGAAAAAATATAAACCCAATAGCAATATCTGAATACTTTCAAACTACTTGATCGAGTTGTGCTCAATTATTGAGGTATCAATTTTTTAAAGTGTTCCAGTAGTTAATATTTAATAGAATTGAAATTCCATTGAAAATTCACTGATTATTCTTCTAATGCTCTTAAAATTTCAAGTACTGAACCAATTCCCATGATGTGAATATCGGATTTGAAATTAGATGAATTTTCGAGTAAAATATTTGGCAGTTGATATTTGCTATCACCTTGGCAAATCTTCAAAAATATTATTATTACCTGGTGCTCCTGGGACTCCAGTAGGCTGTGGTCCCGGATACTCTTCGGGATCAGCAATCAGAGATCCTTCACTATCACTTTGTCCAGCAGAATCTAGATACCTTCGAATGGGTCCGCAACTCATCCTAGGTCCATTAGAACCCGTAGACAATGTTGAAGTTGTCATCGATCCGATTCTTGGAAACTGATTGCTATCCTGAGTACTCGATACCCTGGACACACTCCTAACAGTCTCAAATACCTTTCTATAGGTCGGAGCTCTGTCTGCCATAATTCCAGAATCTAAACTCAATTCAGAATAAAGAGATGATTCGAGTTCCGAAGCTATAGAATCTGGTTGAGGTGCAGCACCCATAGATGGAAATAGACTGCCACCTCTGACAGTAGGAAGTCCCCTCTTCCGTTGCTTACGAAGTTCATCCTGTGTTACTTCCAACAGGTGCGATATCTCCGCATATTTCTCCTTGAAATCAGCCAATTCGGCAGCAAGAGAATTTTGATTCTCTCGTGTTATTAACAATGTTTCCGTAACTTCATCGTGTTCTGTTAGTAATTTAGCTAGACGTAATTCTGTCTCAGATAATTTTGCTGTTAGACTAGTTATTTGCTCGTGTTGTAGTCGATTCTCGTCCTTTTGACGTCCCAATTCCTCAGCGATTCCGTCCACCTCCATGTTCGCATTTGCTAACTGACTTGCAATGTCTTTCACAAGTCTAGCTTCTTGTGCCTCGCAGTCATCGGCATCCTTCACTAAACGACTGAACTCTGTTTTTAATTGTTTATTCTCGTCTTCCAGGGAGTAGATTCGACGCTGCATCAGGTCCAAGTTGATACCTCGAAGACCCGTGGGGGTCCCTCCCTCTGATCCTGACTCGTCCACATCATTCGTCAGAATTTGGATCAATTCTGTTTTCTTTAGGAGCTCGTGGCTCAGCTGAGTTATTTTCTCATTCGCTGATTTCAAATCACATTCCAAAACACTTACTGTTGATTCTAGCTTTTGGTTGTGAGTTAGGAGTTCCTTGCCGATTCTGGCGGTTAATTCTAAGTCTTTTTCTTTCTGAAAAACAATGCGAGATTGTTTGCTTTTTAACATCCATTATAAAGGTAAAAATATTTTATGAATGTGGAAAATGGTCTTTACAACATGAAATATTCGTCAAAATAGACATTTTATATACGTTGGGGGAAAAGATGTTTAAGAGAATCCCAAATTTTCAGATGTTCGAATAAAAGTTAAGTTAAGTTAAAATGAAGGTTCATTAAAATTCAAAAGAATCTTTAATACTTTGCTACTGTACACACCTAATATCAATACTTAACACTAGAAGAAAATGGGAAGGATCGCTTTCAAAAGAGATTCTATCTTCGATCCTAATTTCAATGAACTTGTGTATAATTATTGATGGAAATATGACAATGTACTGTATAAACGTTTTAAATATATTGTTAATAATGGATAGAAGCAAGATTTAATTAAATTTCTATAATTGTTGGCATGGAACGAGAATGGCTCTCGCTCAATGAGGAAATAAATTACCTAAATCATCAAAGAAAATCATTTCTTCTTTTTTCGATTTTCTTTCCAATTTCTTATTTAAACCTTTACCTCAACTTCTGATTCTGGTTTTTTTTTTCGAAACCTTATGTTTTGCTTTTTACATCTTCATTCTAATTTTTTATCGCTTTTTTAACATTCAATATGACAAACGTGAAAATCAAATGACAATCCTATTATATCGTCTCGCGATAGATCCAATTACAGATAACGAAAAATGAAGAAAGTAGGTAAAAATCGGATTAGGTAGTTACAAAAAAAAAAAAACAATGGAATATTTGTCCTATAATTAAGTAATTTTCACAAAAATCGATTGTAGGATTGAATGATAGAACGTCAAAGGAAGATGAGACATCACCTTGGACTTTCTACCAGAATCATTCTGTAATTGTGTAGTTAATAAAAATATTACCTCCTCCAGAAGCCTAGTCACTGCCTCGATATCATTATAGGTCTTGGTCATTTGGCTCACTCGATTGCTGCATAGAACTGTAACGAAAATAATCAAGAATTTATACACATTGTTCAGTTCAAGAACTGTTAATTAGGGAAAATCTGCCATTAAAGCTGTGCTGTTTTTAAGCATTTGGGAAAACTATTAATGCAAAGAGGCTGAATTAATACCAATAACTAGATTCTAGTAATAGAACTAGATATCTATCAGTACCTGTAACACCTGCTCACGTAACCTCTCTTGCTGCAGAGATAAATTAATTCGTCGGCTACTTTTTTTCTTATTTAAATGGTTGAACTCTCGTTCGAGTTATGACATTCCGTGTTAAATATCATAATCTGGGAGTTATCACAGGATTTTATAATAAGCAATTGTTTATACTTTGGATGCTGTTTTATAGCGAAATTGGATGAAAGTCCTATTGATCCTTATGAATAACCAGACAGGCGTTGCAGCGCAGTCGCATCCGTCTTATCTCACGTGGTGCATCTTAGTTTATAAATAAACAAAATTGATGAATAGAATAATACTTGCAGATGATACAAACTTTAATGGAAATGATGTAGAAAGTTTTGAATAAAAATGGTCAAAGATTTAGATGCTGGTAGGCATGACATTAGGGCTTATACAATCAATATTTTTATACAGATTAATCTGAAAATATTTATGGCACTTGTTGAATCTAGACAAAATGTCAAGAGTTCTGGTTCGTAAATGAATTTACCATCAATTAAAAAATGAACAGCGTCGAGGGAAAATTTATTCAGTAAGGGTTGAAGATTATGAATATAAAAAATGAAAATTGAATGAAAAATAAGCTGGCTTTGTTATTGCACACAGAAACATTTAAGCGTAATAGTTCTCGTGTAATAGTTGTCGTGTAAAATATTTACTCGACAGTTTTTGTTCAAATTTTTATGATGAATACTTAACAAAAATAGCTGCAAAATCATCACTTTCTGTTTGAGATTGTCCGTTTTGAACTTGAGATTAAAAGTTTTGAAATTTGGATAACTCTTCACGTGTTCAAATGGAACGCCATAGATCAGAATTTTTTTTTATCAACGGCTCGATGGTTTCTTCAATAAAAAATTGATGGGCCTAGTCAAATCATTGAATGCAGCCAAATCAAATTAAGTTGACTTTGCATTTAGTTTTCGAGGAATAATTATAGGAAGTTCATAAATTTATATAATTACGAACAATTACAATCGAAAGTATGCAGTTATATCCAGTGAGTTGCGAGTGCCCGAATCCATAATAAAATTAATATCTCATCCATTAGTGAATGTGGTTAAATAAATTTTCAAATTTTTGGCGAATGGAATCCACGAAACCACAGCAGATTTTCTAGTGGTTTTATTGTAATGCAATAATATAATAGTGATTATTATTCAGCAATATTTTTCTCATTGTCACTTTTAACATGAAATGCTCAATTATAGAAACATAAATGTTTTAAAATTTCTAGATTCGAAGAGAGCATTCGCTGAAATAGCGTGGAATGCTCTCTATAAAATCACCATCTGCAATCTATAAACAAAATCTTCACGTAAATCGAGAATAGACGCGAAAGTAATCGATAAGATGACGATGGATGTCGTTTCAGAAAAAAAGAATTTTTAAATCAATTGCTGTGCACCACGATGCCTTCAAGCGATCGAGACCAAATTAGTTTACACATTTCCACAATAACTAATTATTGACCGAAATCTTAGATATTTATTCTAAGTGATAATGCGCATCACGAAACGCTGAATGGATTTTCAACCAAAAAAAATTAAACGCAAGAAAAGCTCTCCAAAGCTTTGTAATAGATATTATGACGCAATTAGTTGTTCAGAAGATATTGAACAAATTAGTTTTTCACATAATCCTATATTCAGATACGCAGTTGAAAATTTGTGGCCAATTGCTTACAAACATGATGCTATCATAGAGATTTCACAGATCATAGTAAAAATAAACAAATAAATAAAGACTATAGTTATATAGCTAAGTCTCTGTATTTTGTATGCATCGTCCTACAATTCAATTTGCGGTAAATAGAATAGCTCTAAATGGAAGAATTAAGAAAAGAATTTCCATTAAATAAAAGAACTACTAAATGTCGGAGCAATGTTGCTGGCGCTGATCAGAAGAAAGCAGATGGGAATAATATTAGACCGCGATTTAAAAAATTCCGCGCTAAAAATATTGGTCCTCTCTTTACTATTTTTATGATTATGTATTTTTTCTATTAATGGCGGTCTACACTGTAGACTATAACCAATTTATAATTTTTTCTGGCAAATTATTGATGGGATTGACCTTAACAAATATAACATTTTCGCGTTTTGTCATTATTTAATGACTTACGAAGTTTCACGGTTGTGCAAACATTTTTCTACGTTTTTTATAAACTATTGAAAGGAATCACAAAATTGTAGGGAACATGTATGGAAATCATTACATCACCACAAAACTTCGTGAGCCTTTAAATAATAACAAAACGAAAAAAAATGTAAAAAACATGAGTTTCGGCTATATATATGTATGGGACATCCTTATGCTTTTCTAAGCCTTAAAGGTTTAATGTACATACATCTAAAAGATATAAAATTTTGGCGCTTATGACTTTGGATACATTGATTTCAAATTTTTTACGAATTTTTTTATTTTTTATTTTTTATTTTTAATTAACGAACTTTTAACTTTTTTAGCTTTTATGCAAGAATTTACTAATGATGACAATGGATTTTTCTTCTAGTTTAGCTAACATCTGTCTCGCGCAGTAAGGGGGAAAAATATTCAGTCCACATAACTTTTTTCGCACAACACTCCGACAAGATATATTCAATATTCTTCTCTTTACATTTTTATTTGCATATTGGGGAGTTAATGATCTCTACTCCGCCAGTGATTCTTTTCTTATTCTTCAATAGAGAGCTATTCTATTTACAGAAAATACAATGTAGGAGCATGAATTCCGAATTCGCTGATTCGGCTATTCTTATTTATTTACTCATTCATTAGAAAGTCTCTATCAACAATTTGCTATCTAGAATCACCAAAAATATAATGTTTTCAATTTCCAGGAGCAATTGAACGAAAATTTTTCGCGGAAGGAATAATCAATGCATTACTTTCTCTCAATCATCAAACGAATTTCGAGACGTTTTCGTTTCTCTCGCCGATTGGAAGATGATTCCAGTGTAAAAATTTAATGCAATATGTAAAAATTCATAAAGATTGAAATGAATAAGTTCTGAAAATTTGAATGATTAAATGTATAAATGGTAGATGATTTTTTATAATAAAAAAATTACCTATTCGGCTTGTAGAGACACCTAACATTTTTTTGTATTTTTTTTCTATCAAGTGAAAATTTTTCAGATGGTGATTTGGTAATTTAAAACTATGGTGATTTAAAATCATAATATTATTTTAAACAAGCTCAAAAATGGAACGTGAAGTACGTCTTTAGCGCTAGTGCCAAAAAATCTAAAAATAAATCAAGATTCCTTTTTTTAGTCGTATAGAGGATTCTAAAATGTATTCCACATCGAGAGAAAAATTTAGTAAAATGTAGTAAACCTATTTGTTTGCGACCAAAAATGGTTGGTGTTATTAAATCAGATTCAAAACAATCAAACAAATTGTTGAAGTAATTGTTTGATTCATTCAATCTTGTGATAGATTCGCGCTAATCGACTGTTTCTTATTAAACATGTAGTAAAAATAAGTAAATATATTATCAATAGCGTAGTTCTATAAAATTGAAAACAGAAAAATCAATTCTTTAGCTCTATGATATTAACTGAAACATGCAAAAACTGAAGTTTTTGAAAAAATTCTCTCAAGTTGACGTTTTGAATAATTTTCTGTGACGAAAACAAATGAAATCAAATAAAGAACCAAGTAGAAATATTTTCAATGGAAAAAAAACTTGGCCGAACATTGATCCATTAAGATTCAGGGTCGGTTAGCGATTTTTTTTATTATTCAAACTTTTTTTTACTTTTGAAGAGTTTCACTTAATAGTTTATCAATCGAATCATCGTTAAATAATTAATTTATCTATCGGAGTTTGTTTAAACAGAAAAATCTTGAAAATCAATAGTGGAGCATTTTTTTAAATGTGTCTGTTTTACTCCAGCCTCTATATTGTTGCGAAGATTCCATTTCTTTGAGATAGGTATATATTTTCTTAAAACATGTTTCAGTAGCTGAGTCATTAAAAAAAATTGCTCTAAAAGATGTTTCGGTTAGATATGACCTTTCATTAACTCTTTCGATAATTATTAATATTAACTTATACAAGTGTCATCAAATTTCTTATAGTAGGAAACCGCGGCATTCAACAATAATAATAATCAGAAGAGTCGGCCCAAGGTCACATGCGATCAGTGAATCATATAATTGTTATTATTGAAGCCTCGAGTGAACATGACTCAGCTGAAGAAATACGATTTATAAAAAATACATACTTCTCTCAAATAAATGAACTCTTAACAAAAATATCTTTTTCTTTCAGTCTAATGGTCTGATACAGAAATTTTCAATTGTTATTCAGAATGAAAATCAGTGATTGTAAAAAAGAATGCGCAATTAGCAAAGATTTTCGGATTTGTTGGACTAATTAAATTTTATATAGATCATTTCATAAATATGTCTGAAGCACATCGGCTAACAGAAGAAAAATTGGAATGTATTGATTACTCACATCTCTCTCGTAATTATCTTAATACATTTCTGGCAGTTTATCATTTTTAAGAAATATATTTACAAAATAATCAGTGATGCTCGGCTGGAATATCCCCCCATTATTATTCCACGGTTGAAATAAAATATGAAACATGACATTTAATGAGTAATCATGCTTCTTGAATTTATTGAGGTTTATTGTGAATAAAATATTGATAAGGTGAATAAAAAATAGTCATGGACGATGTAAGTTTTTTTGGAATACAGTGAAAGGTGAATAATCGCAATGTGCTTGTATTCTCTAATCTCTCAGCGATTCAAATTTCAAGACAAAGTCGCTCCTGTATTG